TATCATTTGTTCTCTTCTGAGAGTCACCCTTCTTAGAGCCACCTCCAACATCAGACAGCTAGAGCAACTGGCTCCCCCACTGTAGAATTCATCACATTTCTTCTACTTTCTTCTGACTGAACCAAGGCATAAATCTCCTTAACTGATGCAAGTCTTTACTTCCCAAGATCTGCACCCTGATGGACTCATATAAAGGATTCAGCCCCGAGAGGAAGGCAAATACCCGTTGCTGAGATACAAGTGATTTGTATGCCTTTGCATCCTCATCACACTTCTAGTTAACATTCTGATAGTGATCAAGTTCTTTCCATGTCAATGTCAAATCCGAATAGTACACCCAGAGACTCCTTTCTCCCTACTTACAAGTGGACGATTCAGCTTGCAGTTGGTATATCTTGGCATAGTGTCTCTGCTCTAAATAGGTGGACTTTGCTTGTTCCCATATTTCACAAGCAATTTCAGCCCACATAAAAGTGTTTCTCACGTGTGGCAGCATGGAAACCAAGAGCCAAGACATCACCATACTATTTTCTTGGTTCCATCTGTCATATTCAGCACTTCCGCACTTCGGTTCCTTCACTTTCCCATTGATGTATCATATTTTTCCCCTAGCAGTGATGTAGAGTTTTATTCCCCTAAACCATTCAAGGTAATTCAGACCATCAAAAGGAATGACAGCCATGGGGAAACTCATATCCATTCCCCCACTTACCCCATTTTGATTTCCAGAAATCCCTGAAGTAGCAGAATTCTCAGAAGACATGGTCAAAACAGAATTTTTTTTTTTCAAAAAACTTCAACTTAGGATCCCTCCTTATATCAGAACAAAAAACTCCACACACAACAAGTGATTAGTCCACCCATACTGCAGTTTTTGGACTTAATTTGATCACAAGACCAGCACCAATTTCCAGAATAAACAAGATGACAAATCTGATTTTCAGACCTGTACGGAGTAGCAGTCCCAGCCTGCAAATTTTCTCAGTAGGTCTACAAGCAATAATCACAAGGGGAGATCCTTACACACAAGGCATCAAGCCAACAAGTAGAGAAAACAGGTCATACGTGACCTACAGCAGCCTTTCACAGGTACAGGATCACACGATCCAAAACAAGCAAAGGAAAAACCTCACAAGGGTGTGCCAACATTCAGTGGTTCAGGTCCATTCGTTTTCTTCTTGGTACACGACCAAGGGAAGAGAAGAAGAGAAAAGGAAAAAAATGGGGCGGTACCAGTTGCAAGTCTGATTCGAACAACCCAGATGTACTCCTCTGTTCCACCCAGATTCAGCAGCTTGGAGAAGATACTTGATCGCCCAGATTCAATGGCCATGCTCTGATACCATCTTGACAGTAAATCTGATTGAAGGTTACAGCAAGAGAAGAGAAAAGAGAAGAGGAGAGAAGAGAAAAGAAGGAAGAAGTGTTGAGGCAATGGAACAGTACTGGTGGCGCCAGCTTCGTTATAATATATAGGGCGAAAAAATAAGAAGGGAAATGACCCTTGTGCCCCTACTAAGTGATAGTACAATAATAGATTAAAATAAAAAGGATTTAATCAGCCAAACAGACCCTAACAAACATAAAATCAATTATTTTAACACTTTCAACAAGTACTACTGTTAAAACTCAGATGTTGTATAAGTTCAGATTAGAAGAAAGAGAAGATGAAGAGAGAGAAGGAGAAGAAAAAGAAGGAGAAAAGGTCAACCAAACTAGAGAGAAAAAATTCTAATCCCTCTAGTCGGCCCTTCTTTTATTTATACTCTTCTAAGGTATACAAGAATTACCATTGTGCCCTCGCTTAAGTGAAAGCCACATCAGCTGAACAACTCATATATAACTACATAAAAGGACTATACTACCCTTGTACAGCCGATTCTAACAACTACCCTAGGATATATAATTTTTACTTGAAAAAATCCATCACCTAGGCAACTAGGCAACAAGGTGCCCCCTGTAGCCTAGCCTCGCCTTGGAACATATAAGAGAGGCCTGATGGAAACCTAGACCTGATCTGAAGCCTGCACGATTCTAAAACAACAGTAAATTGAATTCAAATGTTCCATCCAGTGGGATGAGTCAACATCCTCATTTGCATCTAATCAATAACCAAAGCATGGTTTCAGAAGTTCTCTAAATACCTGATTTGATTGGATTGTACTATGGAAACTCATCTTTAGGAGTTGATTTATTACATTTGCACATATAGGTAGACATGGTACTAAAAATCTTACTTCCTTCTCAAATAATAAGGTTTAATGCTTCTGACCAAGTGACCATATCAACATGTCATCTTCATTCCATTGTTATCATTTTTGTTTTGGAAAGGACAAGGTATCTGTTTTTGATGGTTACCTGGCCTCCATTTTGGGAAGGGAAACATTAAAGTCAGTACATGTTCTATGGGCAACCTTACCAATAGTCTAAATTTCTCAATATACATTTTTTAACTTCTACGTGTTCTAGGATCTTCTATCCATCAAGATGATTCAAATTGTCTATGACTTTTATTTTCTAAGCTATTCAATTTTGTTAAGCTGTCTGATTTCAATTGTGAAAATTGTCAGTGAACAAAATGTTATAAAAGTTCTTATTATTTCAGTAGTGAAATATTAGATAGTACTTTTGAAATTGTGCATAATGACATCTAGGGGCCTATCTACTTCCTTTCCACCTTCCACATTCCTTCTAGGATAGCTAAACAACTAGGAAAATATACAAGGGGTTTTCTATGGGAACTGAGAGAGTAAAAAAGGACCACCTAGTTAAATGGGAATAGGTTAGTAAACCAAAACAAAAAGGGGCCCTAGGATTAGGGAACTTAGCTCTCAGGAACACTACTTTGTTGGGAAAATGTTTGTAGAGATTTCCATTTGAAAGAGACAGGTTGTGGCACAAGGTAATTGTAACATTCATGGTGAGGAGGGTAATGGCTGGGATGCTAAAGTTGCTTCTCCTTGGAAAATTATTCATGAGGTATACCCCATTTTTCTTAGCTCAAGCCATTTTGATGTGGGAAGAGGGGATAAAATCCGGTTCTGGGAAGACCTTTGGGTAGGAGATTCACCACTAAAAGATCAATTTCCTGAACTCTTTGCCCTATCAAACCTCAAGAATGAAATTATTTCTAGGTTGGGTACTCCCTTTCAAATATCAACTGGAACCTTGGTTTCAGAAGGGGCGGCCTAAGGGAAAGAAAGTGTAGTATGTTGATTGACCTTGACATTTTGGAGAACAATTTTCCTAGTTCCAAACTTGGAAGATTCTAGACTCCGGGTAATCTCTACAGATGGTCTCTTTACTTGCTCTTCCTTTTTCAGGCATTTGGCTTTACCTAGTTCTCAAGAGGCAGACCTCCCAGTGAAAGAAATTTGGTGTAAGCCCATCTCACCAAAACTCCAACCTTTCCATTGGACTCTATTCTTTGGAAAGGTAAATACTTGTGGTATGCTACATAAAAGGAGGCCCTCTTCTGTCCTCTCTCTCCTCATATGTGCTTCTTATGTAAGGAAAGTGGAGAGACCCTCTCCCATTTATTTATATCATTTTCCTCTGTGCTTCATGTTTAGGAGTTTTTCTGCTCTCTCTTTGGTTGCAAGTGGGATCCCCCTCAAGAGGTGGTGGACATTTTCAACCCAAGCTTCTTGAGGCATCGAAAGAAGAGAGGAAGAATAATGTGGAGAGTTAACAAGGCAACAGTTGTTTGGGTAGCATAGGAAGAGAGAAATAACAGAATCTTCAATGAAAAGAGTAGGACTTTGGAGGAGGTAATAGACAATATAAAAGTGAAGGTTACTTACTGGGTAAAGACCTTGGATTGTTTCCAGATTTTCTCAGTCACTAACATTATAAGGTCTTGAAGGAGGTAGCACAGTCCTCTAGAGAAAAAGAAAAATTAAGTGTGGAGTGAAAACCTCCAGAAGATGACAAAGCTAAACTCAATTTTGATGGAATTTCCTTGGGAAACCCAGGAATGGCAGGAATAGCTGGAAGGATAGCAAAGGATTTAAATGCTGACTTCAATTGGGTTAGTAGGAGTGCAAATGGGCTAGCTGACACCTTCCCAAAACAAGGGGTCCCAAGGCTGCAATTCTACCGGGCTTCATTGTAATCTAGCTTGTGTAATTGGGGATGACATCTTGTAATCAATTGTACTAATCCACTTATAATCGTTTTAATAAAATAACTTTTTTCTGATAAAAAAAGTGACATCTGGATGCCTTATCATATTCCAAAGATGGGGAGTTATTGTTCCTTCCTATTACTAATATGGGGGCCTTGTTTTTCTTGAGATGGTTTGGTTATGTGCATAGAATACCATCTACAACACTTGTTAAAAAAGTGATCTATTACAAGTTGAAGGGACTAGAAGGGCTAAGTTTGGACCAAAACGAACTTGGATGGAAGTGATAAGAAATTATTTAAGCACCCCAAAAGTTTGTGATGGATATGGCACTGAGCAGACTTAGATGATGGTGATGACTTGAGACATCTACATACATTTCAAGTAGTGTAGTAGGGAAAGAGATGCTATTCATTACCAATAAAGAGTATGAGAAACTCCTCCATTCAGCCCCTTCATCTAGTAATACAACCACTTCAGCTGAGTTTGGTATTGCTTGCCTTGCCTCACAATTGTCTTAGTCTTCCTGGGTCATTTATTCTAGATTTCAGATTGTATATTTGGATCTTCAAATGTATTTACTTCCTTTTCTTAGTCTCCTACTTTTTAATTTGTTATGTTTGCAAATGGTACATCTCTCATATCTAGTGTAGATGGTGTTCCTTTTCATTCATGTATTTTATGTCCATCTCAGTTTGATGTAAGTAAATTTAAATCTCTTACTTGCTCCATTGCATTCTTCCCTTATGATTGTGTTTTCCACCACTTGTTCTTTCTTTCTCTCTTATTTGCTTCATCTTTATCCTTTTCTCTTACTATAATGATATTTTAGATTGATTCAAGACACTCACAATTAATTCACACATATTTGTAGGTGATAGTGAAATTGCTTCAATTGTCATTAATGAAAGTGAGTCAGAAGGAGAGGAAGCAAGAAAGTTCCTGGAAGATGTTCGTGTTACATTCCCTCAGGTATTTAAGTTAGAAAAAGAAACCCCATTCTAGAAATGTGTGTTACTACATTATTTGTTACTTTTCCTGCCAGAATATACATGTTAAATGTTAAGTTATTCTTGGATGATTTGTATGTTGATGAATCTTTCAGGTTTTGCGTGTTTTGAAAACAAGACAAATAACATATTCAATTTTGAAGAATTTGAGTGATTATGTCCAAAATCTTGAGAAAGTTGGGTTATTGGAAGAAAAAGAGATGTTTCATCTTCATGATGCTGTGCAGGTAAGTGGATGTGATATTTTCTGTTTATTGTTCCTACATGATTTTGAGTAATAACTATGTTTTTCTCATCCTTTATACTGAAACATTGCTCTAATTCTTTTACCAGACTGACTTGAAAAAACTTTTAAGAAATCCTCCTTTAGTGAAGATGCCAAAGATGAGTGATTCACTAAGCACCCATCCTTTGCTCGGAGCACTTCCCTCTATGGTCCGTGAACCTCTTGAGGGTTCTACAAAAGAAATAATAAAATTACGTGGTTTCACACTCTACAAAGAGGGATCTAAGACAAATGGAATTTGGCTTATTTCAAATGGAGTTGTGAAGGTAATTAAATCAATTTGTAATTTTCATTTGACAGTCTGGATTAGCCTGTAAGGATCTCACAATGAACAATTTTGTCCTTTACCCATGCAGTGGACAAGTAAGAGTTTAAAAAGTAAGCACTCGCTGCATCCAACATTTTCACATGGAAGTACGCTTGGCCTATACGAAGTGCTAACTGGAAAACCATATATCTGTGACATAATCACAGATTCTGTGGTGCACTGTTTCTTTCTTGAAACTGAAAAGATACTTTCTTTGCTCAGATCAGATCCTTCAGTAGAAGAATTCTTGTGGAAGGTATGGTTATATTGGTATCATGGCTTCACCCATTTTTTAATAATATTTATTGTTGTGAGAGACATAATTCGGTAAATAAGATGTAACAATCATATTCTTTGATTCCCAACACAGAAAGCTGGATCATCTTCACTAGGTTCTTTGATATTTCTATTAATATGACCTTGTTCCTATGGCCTCCAATATACATTCTATCAGACAGACAAATCTGGGTAATTTCTTCCATCAAGTTTAACCTTAGTAACTTGTATTCTTGGATGATCACCCACACCAACAGGAACACTAAAACCACAAATAGTTCTCTCATCAGAAATGCCACTTGATACAGACATATTGACAATAGAAGAAAAGTAACAATGCTGTTTAACTAAAACCAGAACCAAAGAACTGAATTCTCTCAATCACAACTTGCCTGCATGTGATCACAACTTCTCAGGAATTAACATCTCATGTTGAACTATAAGATCATTTAATTTCTTACTTGCTCTTGCAGGAAAGTGTAATAATCATAGCAAAACTCATGCTTCCTCAAGTATTTGAGGAAATGGCTATGCAAGAACTAAGAGCTCTTGTTGCAGAAAAGTCAATGATGAACACATACATAAGGGGAGAAACTATAGAAATACCACACCATTCTGTTGGATTTTTATTAGAAGGGTTCATAAAAACCCAAGATGTCCAAGAAGAACTGATTACATCTCCAGCAGCATTATTGCCATCATATGGAGATATAAGCTTTCTTGGTATGGAAACATCAGGTAATTTAACAATTTTCATACACCATTAAAATGATATATCTTGTTTGATATTCTTATAGGATTGCTTTTTGATACTAAGAATCAAAGTTGCCTCAAGAATTGATTGATTATGTTTCATCATGTTGGTTTTGTAGTTTCATTTGTCTAGGGTTATTTGCATTGTGGGACTTAACCCCTTTCTTTCGTTAGTCCAAGTCTCGTGGCCATGAACCAGAAGCTTTGGGGTGAATTTTCTTGTTTCTTCTAAACACATTTCGGAAAGGGCTACACAACTTTTTTTTTGTTGAGTGGGGGTGGGGGAGGGTAGAAATGGTTACGCCCTTAGCGTCTTAGGAACCTTTGTCATTTCTTTGATTCATTCAACGGTTGCCTGTAATATAGTATTAGAGTTTCTATGTGGCTCCTGAAATTTAGCATGGCAAGGTATTTCAGAAGAGTATATCTTATTTTCATCTTTAAGAGATAAACCAAAATATAAATGACATAAAGTTCAGATACAACTGAGTCAACTGACTCTGAATTTAAAATTTTAACCATTTAAATTAGATATGCTTCCCCAGCCTCTATTAAATACTTTGGTTCCCCTAGGTATGCTCGTCTAATGACACTACATTGTTATTATTGGGTTACAGAGTCTGCATTCATAAGGAACAGGTATCCCCGTTATTTTTATCTTTAGAATTCTGTTTAAAAAAAAGATCAGTATCCCATGCTGGTCCTGGCTATCCAATGTCTTGCTGGGTGGATTCGATGCAGATCTAGCTTCCAGAATTTTATAGCATTAAGTGGCTGTGTTCAGACTCAAATTTGCATTCCTATGCTTGTCGAGCTGAGGTTTGACCATTATAAGTCATACCATGTAATGACCACAGTACCATTAAGTGACTTACAATCCTATTCTGAAACCTCAGTTTTTGGGAATAGATATACTTCAACCCTGTACCTACTGTTGTATACCCTCATCCTTGTTTCTGCACCTGGTTCATTATTTTTCAACCATGTGTACTGATTGATTTCACTGGTGATGCCCTTTCATGCTAGAATTAGATGATCAATTATTTGCTTCCTACTTGCTTATTAATTAAATAAAACTACCAAATGGAATGTTACATATTACCAGAAGTTAAATTTAGGATAACCCTGCAAGATAGATATGATTTAGTTCAGCAAATAACCTTACAAATAATAAGTTTATTCCAACAATGTTATGTTTAGGGACAAGTCGAGATCGTGGGGTTCATCTATCCCAACAATGTTATGTTTGATTTAACTATAAATGAAGTATAAAGACAAGTCTGCCCCTAGTAGGTGGCAGCAAGGAAAGAAAAGAAAAGACAAATGGCCCAGGTAGTTTGTTACATAATCTGCCCAATAATAAATAAAAACAATAAAGGGATCACTTTGACATAAAAACCTACATGACCCAACATTACTCAACACTCTCCCTCAAGCTAAGCATAGAGGTTAGTTATGCCCAGCTTGCTTACGTGTATCGTTATAACTTATGCTTTCCGCAAGTTGTTCTTTTGAGGCAATAATAGATAGATATACATCTCCAGCTCCAGATGCTACTCTTCTTGATGAAGTGTCTATCTACCGCAATATTCTTTGTCTTTTCATGTTGAACTGGATTGAGTAATATTAATGACTACCTAGTTATCACAATATAATATCATATGCTTTCTATGAATAACTCTCAACTCTTCAAAAAGGAATTTAAGCCACAACTATGATGTCCCATGAGACATTGCCTTATATTAAACTTCTGTTGAAGATCTTGCCACTACATATTGGTTTTTTTCTCCTCTAAGATACCAACTTCCAACCTACAATGGTATAGTATGCACATATAGATCACCCATCATTAGGTCTGGCAATTTTGACCCCAACCCATTTGAATAGTGGGTCAATATGGATCAAGTGGACTCATTAGGATCACAGTGGGTTGGGTTGAGGTTACCATTGGATCATAGGGGGTAAAGCCTTTAGGGTTTGAAAGTTTCTTCTTTGTTTCTAATTTTCTATTCAAAGTTCCTGACTTCACCTCGCCAATCGCCATTGAATCAAAGTGTAGATCTCAAATGGTAGACCTAGGGAGTTGGTGAAGTTGAAGATTCACTGTTTGGTGGCCTTAAGGAGCTAGATTGACAACCCGACACCAAAATTGATGATTCAACCATGTAGAGCTTGGCAATATGTTGCAACTCAATTAGGTGATGAACCAAACAGAGAGGCAGGTTCTAGTTCACATTTAGTATGGGTCATGGCTCTATATTCAACTTCAACTCTACTTCTTGCTACCACAGTTTGTTTCTTGCTCATCCAAGTTACTAGATTGCCACCAAGGAAGGTAAAATACTTGGTAGTGGATCTCCTGTCAGACACAAATCCGGCCCAATCAGCATATGTGTACCCCATAGTTTTCAAGGTGCCAAGGTGAGGCTAGGCAACTGGGGGGCGCCTTGTGCCTAGGCGATGGAGATTAGTATGTTTGTGTTGATTAAACCCTAATAAATAAGAAAATAATAAAAAGAGATTAGTATATAAAGATACAAAATGATTATTTTAGTTTAATAATGTCTATTTTATAATTATAATCTCAAAAAAGAATGAATTAAGAAGTATTTTATAGTAGGAAGTAGAAAACTGCTTGGTGATTAGGCGAGGTGCCCCTCAAAGGGCGCCTTGTCTTTTAGTCGTCGCCTAGGCGCCCGCCTAGGTGCCGCCTTGACAATTATGGTGTACCCCTCTATCTCAAGAGTTCATCAACTCTTGTATAATAGCCCACGACCTGGAGCTCCCTTCATGTACCTAACAATTCTTAGAACTGCCTCCCAATGTGGAACTCAAGGATGTTGCATAAACTGACTCACCATGCTTACTGCAAATGATATATCTGGCCGAGTAATAGTCAGGTAGTTCAATTTACCCACCAACCTCTTGTACCTTCCAGGATCATCAAACTCTTTACCTGGATCAATACTCAACTTGTTATTTGGTTCCATGGGTGTTTCAACTAGTTTGGCACCCAACAACCTTGTTTCTTCAAGTAAATCAAGCACATACTTTTTTTGGCACGAGTTAATACCATGCCTTGGCCTTGCAACTTCTATTCCCAAGAAACATTTTAGTTTACCCAAATCTTTTGTGTAGAACTGATCATGTAGAAAGTTCTTCAACCTATCAATCCCATTGCTTCCACTACCAGTTATGACAATATCATCCACATAAACCACTAACAAAATCTTCCCAGCTTATGATTCATAATTGAACACAGAATGGTCTACCTGGCACTGTTTCATGCCAAAGTCCCCCACTACTTCTCTAAATCTACCAAACCGCACACATGGAGATTGTTTTAGCCCATAAATTGCCTTCCTAAGTTTGCAAACTATACCATCCTCCCCCTGAGCAACAAACCCTAGTAGTTGCTCCATATATACCTCCTTAACAAGATCACCATGTAAGAAGGCATTTTTTATGTCAAGCTAAAGGAGGGGCCAATCATACATTGCTGCTAAAGAAATCATGTAGAAAGTTCTTCAACCTATCAATCCCATTGCTGCCACTACCAGTTATGACAATATTATCCACATAAACCACTAACAAAATCTTCCCAGGTTATGATTCATAATTGAACGTAGAATGGTCTACCTAGCACTGTTTCATGCCAAAGTCCCCCACTACTTCTCTAAATCTACCAAACCACACACGTGGAGATTGTTTCAGCCCATAAATTGCCTTCCTAAGTTTGCAAACAGTAGGCGATCAAGACTACAATCAGCCTTGAACCCTAATAAATTTCAGATTAGAAAAAGTAGAAGAAAAGAAGAGAAAGGGAGAAAAGAGAGGAGAAGAACTGGAGAAACAAAGGTTGAAAGAAGGGACAGATTTTCAATGATCTGCTGCCGCCACTCTCTTAGTATTTATAGGTTATGTTCAGTACATAGGGAAAAGGATAGATCTGCCCTTAGTACTTACATGACAAATAAAGCAAATAAAAACTGAAATAAATAACAACTGAAGTAACAAACTGACCACCAACTGACACTACCATGACTGAAACAAATAATTACACATACTGTCCTACGAACACAGTGGGGACCACAGCTGTGGGGCCCACATCAGTGTTCTCTATACAAACTATACATCCTCCCCCTGAGCAACAAACCCTAGTAGTTGCTCCATATATACCTCCTCAACAAGATCACCATGTAAGAAGACATTTTTTATGTCAAGCTATAAGAGGGGCCAATCATACATTGTTGCTAAAGAAATCAATGCCTGAACTGAACCTTAGCCACAGGAGAAAATGTCTCCCTATAGTCAACACCATATAGCTGAGAATAGCCTTTGGCCACTAACCTGGCTTTCAATCGTTCCACATTGCCATCTGGAAGATATTTTATTGTGTATACCCACTTATATCCAATAACATGCTTACCAAGAGGGAGAGGGGGTAAGTTCTCACAGCTAGCGGCCACCCTGGAGAGGCAATGGCTTCTTGGACATTCTTAGGAATTGAGATAGATGATAGCAAAGATATAAACTATCGATGAGAAGTAGAAAAGTGAGTAACACAAACGTAATGGGAAATAGGATGAGATGTACAACTACATTTAACTTTCCGCAATACAATAGGAACATCAACGTCAAAAGGAGGTACAATTGCAGGATCCATCAATGAGGGCTGAACTAGAGGAGGGGCTGGTGCTCTTCTATGAGTATACACGTGTGATTAGTGGCCTTTCAGTATTAACATGCACTAGAGAAGACAACAGTTAAGACACAATAGGAACTGTAGGAAAGGGGTCCTCAACTAGAACTAGAAGAGGAAACATAGGAGCAGGTGGAGGAACATCAAAACTAGAAAGGAATGGAACATACTTAAGGAAAGTGACATGAAAACACACAAAGGACCGATGAGAGCTAGCGTTGTAACACTTATACCCTTTTTGGGTTTTAGAGTAGCCAAGAAAGATGCATTTTATAGCACATGC